CTAATTAGATTTGTATATATTGCTTCTGCACCTGTTAGCCCCATATGTAATACTATGATTGTGTGTGAATTTTGAAAGTTGGCCTTCGGTAATCTCGGATTACTGGCCATCATGGCACCATTCTACTAGGGGCGGAATGAGGTACTGACATTGTGTCTTACCCTCGAGCGGATGTCGAGCGCCCAATCGAGCGTGGATTTCACCTATCCAGCACTTTTGACTGTTTTGCAGTACGCTCGAGCGATTGAGTATGCGCTCGAGTGGAAACCTTAGTCTGCATGTCCGCTCGAGCGGATTAACCTACGCTCGAGCGGGACCCCTGTTTTCTGAAAATTCTGAAAATACTTTTAAAGTGCATCATTGCATCCTTATTTCATCCTAGGCATTCTTGGGCCTAGTTTAAGGCATCTTAATGAGGATATAGATGTAGAACACACCGAGGCAAATTAGGGATTAAGTTTTTATCTTTCCCAACTGTGTAGCTTAGTGTGTGTTTAATCTGTAAACTGTGTAGGGTTGGCGACTGGGGACACGCTCTAGCTTTACTGTAGCCCAGAACTCTGTGAGTAACAACTGTGTAAAGATATGTTCAAAATGATTATCTTCTGAACAATTGAACTGTACTGCTTTCTGAACTGATACTGTTAATTGAATGAATGTATGTCCTATATTCTGAACTGTTTGTGGGCCCTCCTTAGCAACTCTGTTAACTTTACTGTTACAGAGATTCTTCGGTTCCCTTGTTAAAACCACTACTGTTAACTGATTGATGGCCATCATTTACTGTTCGGTCTTTTAAGACCTGCTGTTTACTGTACTGTTATGCCTAATGGATGTACCACATATGACTGAATAACTGATATACTGAATTAACGAACTGTTTTCATTACTGTAAGGACATTCATTCTAAATCCCTTTACGCATTATGTTATTCACTGGGCTTTAGCTCACTGCTCATATATATATATGTAGGTGTACAGGCACCAGACCGCGGCTAGAAGCGTCGGGGTTAAGCTCTAGTTTTGTCAAGCCAACCACTGTGCCTCACTGCGAGGTTTCAAGCCTGTCAAGTTATGGCTTAGGGTTGTTTTAATTTCCCCCGTCTGTCTCTGTAACTGTTTTGTAAACTGTATAGACTGTTACTATACTGTTTAATAGGGATTAGATCCCTGAACTGAATGATTGTATATATGTACATGCTGTTCTGTATTGTTCATGTATATGTGTATGAAAAGTCTTTTTGCATACAGACTCACAGCTCATTGGACATTGTTTACTTACTGTATTGGCTTCCGCCAGCCCCTATACTCCGTATTACTGTTCTACTGTTAAGCAGGCCTTCGGTAATCTCGGATTACTGGCCGGTTACGGTACTAAACCCATAGGGGTGGGTTTGGGTCATGACAATAGACAAGTTCATCGCCAAGTTTTAAAGACCCGAAAACCACCAACTGAAGAATTTAAGGCGAATTGTTCCAACACCTACTCATCTAGGTCGAGATCTTGTCTTCTGGGATCTGCTCACTTGAGTTGAGCTCTTGTATTCTCAAGCCTATTTATCTAGACCGAGATCTTGTCTTCTACGATCTAGGATTTGCTCACTTAGGTTGAGCTCCTGTCTTCTCGGACCTACTCATCTAGGCCAAGATCTTGTCTTAAGATCTAGGATTTGCTCACTTAGGTTAAGCTCTTGTCTTCTCGGACCTACTCATCTAGGCCAAGATCTTGTCTTCCAAGATCTAGGATTTGCTCACTTAGGTTGAGCTCTTCTACACTTGCAGGTTGTCTTCATCTCCTTGGTAGCGCTCATGTCCTATCTTTGCATTCATCCATTCTGAAAGAGTCTTCATTCCGTCAATGTCACCACGTTCTCCATCTTCATTGAACTCGTCATTGCCGACACATTGATCTTGCATGATAATGGCTATCTATTCTAACTAAGTTTTCATAGACGGTGCCAAATTGTGAGTGTTGATTTTTGACCTCACAACCAAACACGAATTTAGCTGGAGAGCATGCGACAGAATAGATTAAGCCAGCACCTGTGCACAAGAAGACAAGAAATACCATGGTGGCTAGTCCACCCGAGGGCACTCCGACAATCAAGTTAGTCAACTTATCTCTCAAATATATCAACACAAGTACATAATTCACAATCAACAGCATAGTTTAAACCCACGAGAGCGCCTTACTTTTATAATGATCAGTGTCTAACTTTCCTTAGAAGTCTTACTTCATGGGACTCTATCCTTTACAAGGATATCAATTATCTAAGACTCCTCCTATTTAGATTAGGATCAACTCTTTTTAGAGTCCAACCTTACCCAAACAAGTAGTCCTACATCATTTAGGGCTTTTGTTCTTTATTTGAATATCTTAGATTCCGGCATTACCGCACCATATCTCGGCAATATCACAATAACCTCAGCATCATGGCTCGTCTACGTGGCACCTAGGCCAACACCTTGGCCACATGGCGCGACCTTAAAAATACATCCCCACAATATACAACATATTTTTCTATTTTAGTTTCAAGTATTTTGATAAATGTTTGATTGATGCTTATTAAATTACTCATTGGTCTCTGATATGTTCAATTTTCAAGTTAATTCACAGATCCAATGCTCAAATCTCTGAAACCTTAACACAGATCTATGTACGGAGCTATGGAAGACATATGCAGACCTTAGGTTGATAATGATATACATGTATATGTGATTACAGAAGAAACATATTTTCTTATATAGTAGATCTGAGATATGTTGATCTAGATTTCAAATTTACTTCTTCTTTTTTTTTTGTAGCTTTTGTTGTTATTGATGATGAACATATAAGATCTGCGCGTGAATTTGAACAAACCTGTGTGCTAAATTTGAACAAATAGGAAAATTAAAACAAGAATTTCAATAGATAGAAAAAAAACCTTAAAAATACATCCCCACAATATACAACATATTTTTCTATTTTAGTTTCAAGTATTTTGATAAATGTTTGATTGATGCTTATTAAATTACTCATTGATCTATGATATGTTCAATTTTCAAGTTAATCCACAGATCCAATGCTCAAATCTCTGAAACCTTAACACAGATCTATGTACGGAGCTATGGAAAACATATGCAGACCTTAGGTTGATGATGATATACATGTATATGTGATTACAGAAGAAACATATTTTCTTATATAGTAGATCTGAGATATGTTGATCTAGATTTCAAATTTACTTCCTTTTTTTTTTGTAGCTTTTGTTGTTATTGATGATGAACATATAAGATCTGCGCGTGAATTTGAACAAACCTATGTGCTAAATTTGAACAAATAGGAAAATTAAAACAAGAATTTCAATAGATAGAAAAAAAAAATAGGACAAGAATTTCAACAGATAGAATTTTAAAATTTCAATAGATAGGAAAAATTAAAAAAGATAAAAATTTGAATAGATAAAAATTAGAATTTCAATAGTTTGAAATCTAGTGATGATTGTTCTCTTTGATTTGACAGATAGAAAGAGAGATAAATAGAGGAAATAGACAATTGGTTCAATAAATAGAAACAAAATATATATAAAATTTAAACAAATAAAAAGAAATAGATTCACCATTGTTGCATTGAAAAGATAAAAGAAAATGCAACAAATAAGAGATTTTTTTATTTTTTTTTTTTTGAGAACGTCTTTCTTTATTATTGTTGTTGATGATGATTGCAATAGATAAACAAAAAAAGTTATGAAATAGGTTTTCAACCGATAGTGTTTCAATAGGTAAGCATAAAGAGAAATCCACAGAATTTGAACAGATAGAGAAGGAAACTCATAGTATTTGAACAGATAGGGAAAAAAATTGAACAGATAAGGAAACAAAATTCAACAAATAGATATAAATTTGAATAGATAGAAAAAAAATTGTGAATAGATAGAAAAAAATTGAACAAATAGATATAAAATTTGAAGACATAGTCAACGAAAGTTAACAGATAAAAAAAACTCAACAAATAAATTAAGTGTAAAATTAAAAACAAAATGTCATTCAAAACAAACAAAAGGACTTCTCGCTAAACTATTTCACAAAGGGTGAACCTCTCACTAATAGAAAATATCAACTCGACTTATTACGTTATACCTTTCTTAGATTGGATTTATCATAAATTTTCTCTTTAGTTTAAAGGGAAAAAAATTTATTATACAAATTTTAAAGAATTAATTACCTAAAATCCTATTTACAAATATTATGGTAGTTCAAATCTTATTTGAAATTTTTTGAACTAATAAATCTTATTTAGTAAAATTGATAATATTACCAGTTTTTCTCAATTTTTAAAATTAAGAATATTATCAATTTTACATAGTAATATTTTAAATAATTATTTCACTAATTGATAATAATAAAAAAAACAGAACATGAGATTAAACGTTTTTGCCTTTCTACTTATTAGTTTGATTTAACTATCCAATAAAACCAATAACATTAACAGATTTTTGCAATTTTAAAATTGAGAACATTATTAGTTTTTTTTTCTCCAGTTTTGCATATCAATGTTCTATCATCATGCTTCTTTATAGACATAAAATTTTCAGTTAAAAAAAAAAATTGTACATAATAGTTTTTTTTTTAAATTTGAAAGTTGATATTTTAAAATTTTAAAAATCAAAATAAATGTCGAATCATCATTTTTTTTTATAAATAATCATAAATGATAAACAATCATCGTTTGAAAGGTAATTCCGACTAATAAAAATTTAATGGGACTTGAAGGTCCAAAAAATTTTAGTTAAGATTTAATAGAGTATAAGTTCATAAATTAGGATTTGTGTGTAAATATCCTAATTTTAAATTTATAAATTTCTTGCACAAAAATAAAATTTAAAATTTTAAAATATAATTTATAAAAATTAATGTGATTAAAATTGGTTTGTTAAGATTAAAATGGAATAAAAAATTTAAATTTCAATACACAATTTATGCGACTATTTTTAACTTTTTTTCATATATTTCAATACGTTCTCCAGGGTCTGGCCGTTGGAATATAACGTTGGAATATTTGAATTTAAAAGTATGGGAGATGACAAGAATTCCTTCTTGTTCTCCGATTTGGTTAACCTCTCTTTCATACTGCTACTTCAATCCCACAAGCTTCAGCTATGTCAAACAACAATCTCTACCCCTGCCTCTCCACGATTTCATCAAAACAAGAAGATTATACAACGCTTTTTTCTGTCAAACCTCTCGCCAATTCCATGCCGACCCAACTGTTCAATCTCTCGTTTCCGCAGTAAATTTCTGTTCCTCCACCCCACTTTGCCGAAAAATTCATGCCCAAGTCATCAAATCTTTGAATTACAGAGATGGTTTCATTGGTGATCGTCTGGTGTCTATTTATGCCAAGTTCGGGTGTTTGGATGATGCACAGATTCTGTTCGATGAAATGCCCAATAAGGATTTGGTTTCCTGGAATTCGTTGATTTCTGGGTTTTCACGGAGAGGTGATTTGGGTAAGTGCTTGAGCTCACTTTGTAGGATGAGATCAGATATGGGTATGGCACCCAATGAGGTGACTCTGATTTCGACAATTTCAGCTTGTACCAACACGGGAGCTGTAGATGAAGGAAACTATATTCATGGACTTGCAGTGAAAATGGGGTTGTTGTCAGAAACTAAGGTTGTTAATGCTCTAATTAACATGTATGGGAAGTTTGGTTATTTAGACTTGGCTTCTCAATTGTTTAAGGCAGTGCTTGTGCCAAATGTGGTCTCGTGGAATTCAGTTCTCGCAATTCAGATTCAAAATGGGTTTCCTGAGGATGGAATTGAGGTTTTTAAATTAATGAGCAGGGCTGGACTTAAGCCTGACCAAGCCACCGTGGTGACCCTGCTTCAGGGTTGTGCAGATTTAGGTGTAGGAAAACTGGCTGATGCTATTCATGCTTATATCTTCACTTGTGGCCTCGAATCAGACATACCTATCTCGACTGCACTCTTAAGATTTTATGCGAAGTCAGGTAGATTACATGCTTCATATGAGATTTTCAGAGAAATGAAAAATCCGGATAGAATTGCTTGGACTGCAATGCTTGCAGGTTATGCTGTGCACGGGTACGGCAGGGGTGCAATTGAGTTCTTTGATCTTATGGTTAAAAAGGGTGTGGAACCCGATCATGTTACTTTCACTCATTTGTTAAGTGCTTGTAGTCATTCTGGGCTTGTCAAGGAGGGAAGGAAATACTTTGAGATTATGTCAAGTGTTTATAAGGTTGAGCCCCGTTTGGATCACTATTCATGCATGGTTGATCTTTTAGGGCGTGCCGGACTTTTGAAAGATGCTCATGTGTTGATTGAGAGTATGCCAATGGAGCCAAATTCAGGTATTTGGGGGGCCCTTCTTAATGCTTGTAGGATTTATGGTGATATTGAACTTGGGAATGAAGTTGCAGAGAGATTGTTTGCTCTGAACCCTTCTGACTCTAGGAACTATATCATGCTGTCAAATATATACTCTGCAGCTGGCCAATGGAGTGATGCTTCAAAGGTGAGGCTTTTGATGAAGGAAAGAGGTTTCGTGAGTAACCCTGGATGTAGTTTTATTGAACATAGAAGCAAGATTCACCGCTTTGTTGTGGGTGATCAAACACACCCTGATTCAGATAAGATACATAAAAAATTGGATGAACTTATTGAGAAAATTCACAAGGCTGGGTATGTCCCTAGAACAGAATTTGTTCTGCACAATGTCGATGAGGAGGTTAAACAGTATTTGATCAATAAGCACAGTGAGAAGTTGGCCATTGCATTTGGCCTTTTGGTAACTGATAGTGGCCGGCCAATAGTTATAACCAAGAACCTCAGAATATGTGGTGATTGTCACGGCATGGCAAAGTTTGTATCACTCACTGAGAAGCGTTCAATCATCATTCGAGATTCGAAGCGGTTTCACCATTTTGCTGATGGGTTATGCTCTTGTGGAGATTATTGGTAATTCTCTTCTTCATTTTGTGACAATTTTGTTCATAGCCATGAGTTTTGGCAACAATCAGTAAATTTATAAAAACTTCCATTTGAGCTTATCGATGACTGATAAAATTTTAGTTTATTTCATTTTACTTACAGATTTTATTTATTTTGTGTTTAAAACCGTAGGTGCCGCAATTAAACCATAGTCTAAGAGAAAAAGAAGTATTTTCATGTGCCCGAGTCCTCATAAGGATGGCATATATTAAGAACTTACATTAGTTTGTATGTATTGAAGAAACAATACAAGTTCACATTTAAAAGAGAAATAGCCACTACACTATCCAAATCGAAACTATTATTTGGATTCTGCAAGTATGAGCCGTCACTTGCATAATTTAGTTTCACCTTTTGCACAAAATCCCCTTCCCACTGTTACTGCTTCCGCATTCAATCCTCAATGGTGCCCCGTCTTCATTGTCTTCTTTCTTTAACCTAAACTTCGACACTACACAATCTGTTGCAAACAGATGGGAAGAAGCAAACTTCACTCCCTCTCCCATGACTGGCATGGGAGCTGCCATCTTGACTCGACTTTGATAAGTTGGTCTGTAGGTCTGCCCCAAAACTCCATCCACGGCCTTGCTTACGGACTCAAACTTGAAATTGAGCTCCAAATGTGCAAAGCAATCCTCTTCTGTTACATCATAGCCATGAACCCGTGATTCCTCTGAAGTGATTGGAACAACACGTGTGACTATTTCAAACAACCCTTCCACTTTGATTTTCACTTTGTTAGTGTCGGCTAAACGCTCAATTGTCAATCCAGTTTCGGGTGATTGCCATGTTTTACCCTGAACAGTTGGTATCAGGATCTCTTCTTCTCCGTTCAACTGGATTAGCATGTTCTCAGTTGATTCATGCCATTTGGCTACTGTTCTTGCACCTAGGTAGAACTGATGAGGCCCAAACAAGATACCGATTGACTGGACCCAAGTGAAATCTCTTCCCTTCTTGCTTCTTTTGCCAATGAAATGAGCATTGATGTGAATTTCAGAATCAGACACCAAGCAGAAGTCCTTGTCCTTCTTGCCATGAAAGTAAAACATGATCCCATCTGTGCCAATGAATCGCGGATCTTGGCACACTGCTCCTGGCTTGTCACAAGCTGATTTGCACCCAAAAATAACTAGAATTAATAAACCATTGAAAGTAAAATAGCACTAGTCCCAAATAATGAAAATAAAATAGCGGGAGGACAGTTGTGAAATGAAACTGAGTCAATTAATGGTAGACCTAAAGAAATTGATTGAATTTGGTGGTGAAATTTTCCCCTTTCACTCACACACTCACACTCACACACACGTCATGTGCAGTCGAGGAAGAGGAGGTATCTTACCACAATAAGGCTTGCAGAGCCTGCAATCAACCTCACATAATCTAGGACAGCCATCTGGACAGTTATGACGGATTCCATAACAACTCCCATACATTGGGTCATGACAAGCAGCTTTCCCAGCCCTCACCTTCGAGGGGATTATAAAACATAAGCATAAGATGCTAAAAACAATACATGAACTTCCCATCTTCTTTTTCTTCTTTGATCTTATGTTTCTACTATTTCAAGAAACTACACAGAATTAATGAAGGGTTTGGATTCTTGTATGTTATTTTACTTGGTTTTGTAACTACTCTGAGGTAAGACAAGCAAGTTAGGTGGTCTGCTTGCGCCAGAAAGTATAAAAATATGAACAAGGTCAACACCTCGTCTTGAGCACAGTTTTTAGAATAATGGATTCGAGAAACTATTATTGAAATCTGGCAATTATCAAGACATCAAATTTAGAGTCGGCCTCTTTCTCTAAGCTTCCCTTTTCTTTTATTTTTTTGGCTCATGATATTTATTTTTAAAATTAGCAACATTTTAATTTGGAAGATAATTTTCTTATAAATTTGTCATAATAAGAAAAAAAATAAAAAAATAAAAATAAAAAAGGTTTTTAGCAAGATTTTAATTTGAAAAATAATAACATTCTTACAAAATTTTCATACATAATTTTTTTTAATCAAAATAATGTGACACTAACATTTTTATAAATGTAAGTCATTTAAATGTGTCTTTTGTTTTAGAATTTAAAAAATTAAGACTTGTCACTTTTATTCTTGCAATGTAAGTCATTTAAATGTGTCTTTTGTTTTAGAATTTAAAAAAATTAAAACTTGTCACTTTTATTCTTGCTTAATGGCTTTCAATCTGGTTACTTCATTTTGTCCAATTGCGATCATATCATAAGCACATTGTTTGAAGTTATGTGATATCATCTGTCTTTTGTCGCAAGGTTGAAGGAGTTTCATGAACAAATGGCATGTTGATTACGCTATAACAATGTGAGATAAAATACTTGTTTAAATACTAGTATTATTATATTAATTAGTTGAGATTAAATTTATGAAATTACATAAAAAATCATTACATAAAGTTTGACGTTGTTATTCTTCTCTCATAGCATATAAGGGAGGGGGGGCGGGTGTTTTGAATGAATGACAAGCCTGTGATCTTGCCACCTAGTAGACGATAATTTGATTCGTGAAGCAACCAGTTTTGAATTCAATAAATAAACCAATATTGCGCATTTGACATAATGTTCTCCATTAAGCAACCACACAAAACAGAGTCACAAGCAAGTATGATTGCCAAGCAACCAGGTTTGGTTGTAATAAATTAAGCAATTTATACATTTCAATGTTGTTATTATATTTACAGATTTAAAAGTTACAATATCCTTACAAAGAATCCATTCCATCATACGATGATTGAATCTCTATAACCAGTTCATCATCTGTAGTCCTTACACAGCAACCAAACACCCTGGAAATCAAAAGGAAATCAAGCAATCAAATACCTTATTGCCGGAAACCAAAACTGAGTAAAATAGAATTCTGCAGATATCATTCATATTGTCTATTCAGATTTGAGAAGGATCTCTCGTTTTACCATAGTTTATATTGATATTACAGCTATTATAGATCATATTGTCTATAGATCATATTGATATCACAGCTAAAAAATAATTGGGTTAATTACATTTTACCTCCCTATGGTTTGCTTCGAAAACACATTACCCCCTTCTAATTTAGAAATGCACTCATAACCCCCTCGTAATTTGGAGTAAAATGTAAAGTTCAACTCCATTAACAGTTTTTACAAAATGTCTAAATTGCCCTTATTTTTTTGTCTAATTTTCTTGTCTATGCCATCATAACCTTAGAACAAAACTCTCTCTCTACCCATTATGCCTCTCTCCATTTTCTTTCTTGTTCTTTACTTCTTAACTTTCTCTCTCCTCCTTTCCCAATAACTAGAATTAATAAACCATTGCCTCCAAGTTCAGCTGCCACAACCTCTTTTTTTTCTTTTCCTTTCTCTTTTTCTTCTCCCATTTCTTCCTCTTCCTGTAGCAGCAGCCAGCAGCTGCTCTGATTCTGGAAATGCAAACTTTATAGTATTGAAATTAGTAATATAAATTACTATGTTGTATGGAAGTCTTGAAAATGTGGGTGCTGCAATGTATATGGTGACCAATATTGTATGTATACTTCATATATATAATTTAATTAAGTATATTTATCATGTTATAAATTATTACAAGAAACTTGTGCTTTACCCACCATAATTGTACATTCTAATTGTTAAATGCAACTCAACTCTTTAGGAACACCAAAACCACAGCACCACCACCCGGTAAAAACTCAAACCCAATAGCTCTCTCTCTCTCTCTCTCTCCCTCTCTCTCTCTCCCTCCCTCCCTCCCTTACATTCACACATGGTGGCTGCAACATCTCCAGCCATCACCCACAGCTTCCATTAACAAACCCAAGTTCCCTATCCCTCTCATCTTCACCTAATAGTACCACCTACATATATGTACGCGTGTGTGTTCATTTCAGTTGAGGGTTGTCGTGAGGGAGAGAGTGATGATGGCTGTCACTAGTGGCAGCTATCTGTGTATTCCATTGTCTCATTGGTGGTGCTGGGTTGGGCTGTCTATGTGATAGGGAGATGCACTGGACACGGGTGGTTGAAAAGAAGAAGAAAAAAAAAGGGCATTATTGTAATTTTCCTCTCACATTTTGTCCTAAAAATGTCACCACGCATCTCAGCCAAAATTGTGCAACACGCGCTGTTATATACAGTAGTTTGTGTTAGGTTTTCACTTCACTCCAGACTACAAGAAGGTTATGAGTACATTTCTAAACTAAAGGGGGTAAAGTGTTTTCGGACTAAACCAAACAGAGGTAAAATGTAATTAACCCAAAAAATTTACAAATTGTGAATATTTTTTGTCACTCAACATTTCAAAATTTTTCATTGCCTAATTTCTTGGAAAGTTATTTGTAAGTGTCACATAATATAATTTTCATTTGTTGATGTTGTGCACAAAGCAAAAATTTCCACTTAACTCTTTCCACGCCTCAAGATATGTTCAATGTGAGTTCATTAACAGATTGAATCTTCAGGGAGAAAGAAGAAACTACCAAGTAAGAATGCGATGAATAGTGTGTGAATGATTCCACCATTTATCCTTTCCCTTTCTCAACAAATTCAGCTAGACTACAAGAAAATAAGAACGGGTGCCACATCTAAAACTTCTCATAGAACAGTATGAGTTAGTTCCTTTCTGCTTCAACTTGCATAGTTGTCAATTTTTGGAATTTCTTCTTTTTTGAGGGATGGTTTCTCACTGCTATGTATGTTCAACCAGCAACATAGTAGGAAAAAAGAGGTAATGTCCACAGTTATTCGAGGAAATTAATATATAGTCAGGAAAATAAACTCAGAACTCTATATTGATTATCTCAAAAAAAAAACTCTCAGCTCTCAAACAAGAGCAAGGATGAAAGAATTCTGATAGCATGATCCCCACAAAAATATGAGATAGCACTAGTGCACCAGCTTAAGCTCAAACTAACCTACCCACGCATGACCCAAACTCCTAGAAGCCAATACAACCAGGTATAGCCTTCAAATTCACTATTAGCTCCCTTAAATTCAACATAAGATGGTACAAGTAGAAAATTTGACATCTTCTCAATCATGCGGATAATGACAATTTTTCATACAAATATATGCAAACTTGCAAAGCCTTAAAAAGTTAGGCAGCAAGATCAAAAGAAACATTTTTCTAAAAAATAACTAGTGCCCATACTTTTGCCTACAAAATACTATTTTGCCCACTGGTTAATCTAGTCTAGTTAATGGCTACAGAGCTAATATAAACAGCCTATATTGTGAAGCCCTAAAAATAATAATTTAAAAAAATCTCAATCTTTATGGTGAATGTGAGAGTTTAACTAGGAACTTGCGAATTTTGATTTAAATTTCAACAAGTCAATGAAGAATTTCATCCAAATTATTATTGAGAGATGACAACCATTTATTACAAATTTATGGTGGAAAAGTACCACCACATAAATCCGAAACAAACAAATAAAGAAGCTTCCAACGAAGATCACACTATATTAAAATAGTGCATGTAACCATCATTAATCGGCTATGAGACAGGAATAATGGATAAACTTAAGCCTACAAGTTCAGAGTAAGAGCAACATACATAATTCAAAGTAAGAGACAAAGTAATATAAACAAGAACACTTACATTTTTAATATGGATTGGGAGTGACCCAAATCGGTGCAGAATTTGAATTCCGTGGATAACAAGGTAATGATTCAATACTACCATCTTCCAAGTTGTAAACACCCAAATCATGATCTCCAGAAATGCCATCATAATTTGATTCAGCATAATCATCTGTATAGTAGATGCAATTACCTTTACAACCTGGGAAATCAGGAGCCGACAAAGCCAAGGAAGAATTTTCCCCCAAGAACAACATCCGATCACCCAAGCTTGTCACCCTATCCCACTTTGGACCACTCAAATCCAGCCTATAAACTCGGAATTGCATAGTTCTGAACATAATATCAGGTTGATCATCATTGAATTCATCTAAATACCGTGTAACCAATAATAATTCCTCAGACGAACTCACCAAGTACTGTATATCACCACCAATCTGTCGCGGTGTACCAATAATGGAAACCCTAGGCGAAGGACCATGAACATCACAAACTGCAATTTCTCCAAATTTATTCACAGCATAAAATAAACCATTCCAATATATAACATCCTCACAATAAGATTGTGCGTTTTCTATAAATCTCCACGATTGTTCTCCATTTTTACAGAAAGCAAGATCACCTGTTTGATTCAGTATTGCCAGTGCAATATAATTGTGACTACTCGAAGGACTCGAAGAAAGAATCACCTTCTTGATGAAAGAATCACGCATGTCCTTCAAATTACACGTGTAGGTATCGCCGTTGGTAGCCCGGAGCGAGTACTCGCGGCCAACATCGTAGAAATTGAAGTCCACAACATTTGGGAACGCTGAGAGTGGCGGGAGATGGACCATGGCCCTGGTGAGAGGATTGAGCAGGAAGACCGCCGGAGACTCGTCAAGAATAACGAGCCATCCGTGGGAGGACCCACAGCGGCGTCTGTGATGAGAGGCTTCGGGGAGGTTGAGGAAGTGAACCTTGTTAGCAGAGAGGCGAAAGAAGCCATGGCTGTGGGTCTGGTGGGTCCTACATTGGGGGAGCATCAGCCATGGGAGCTGACAAGGGAGGTGGTGAGGGGTGTTTGGAGATGAAGATCTCCAATTCACGCATACGGCTCGGAATCGAATGTAATCAATGTGTATTGTGAGTTTCTCGGCGATGGTTTGTAGCAACTCTGGTGGAAGTTCAGCCCAGTCAACGGCCATGTACCTTTTTGTTACTTTCCCTCAGTGGAACGAGCAAGTTTACATGCTTAAAGCAACTCCAACATTGTTAGGCATTTTTGCCTAGCAAAAGTACAACCAAAAAAAAAAAGTACACTTTATTTTACTTAAACTGTTTAAGCTAGTATATGGGAAACACTATGATGCACATATGTCTTTATAACTAAAAAAAAAATTGATTTAATTTTCTGTATCATAATTAAAAAAATGAAAAAATATCATAACTAAACCCAACATAACTAAACATAACTAAAGGAACTAATGAGTCATAACTAAAATAATGTCATAACCAAAAAAGAAAATTGACAATAATTAAAGAAAAAAATAGCATGACTAAGGTGGATATGATTATATTAAAATTTCTCCTAGGATATACTCCAACAAGATTCTTTATTTTAGCTAACCACACAAACTAACATAACACAGCCTACGAAAACTAACATCTTTATGAAAACTGTAGAAACTCATGAAGCACCAAACTAATTTATCATCAACAAACAAGAATCCAATTTGTTAAGGATTCGAATCAAAGATATCCCTATACACATTAGGCATCTCAAAATATAACACATATGTAGACATATACAGTGTGAATTCGATGTTTTAGGGTTTGAAAAACAGAAACCAAGACAAATATGTAAATTGTAATGCTAGGGTTAGGAATTGATGTATACATATATAGGTGAGATACCATGGAGGTAAAGAGAGGATAAAAGGGGTTTCACAGGCCTATTAATTGCCCTGAGTTGAGAAACCAAACCCACTCCAATTGGGGGTTCCATTCACAGATGGGTTCCAGAAGAGGAATTCGGAAATTGGAGAGAGAGAGCTGAGGAGGGAGAGAAAGGGGGTTGAGAGAGAGAGAGAGAGAGAGAGTTCAATACCTTGAACGATGAAGCAGTGTTGATGAAGGGAGTTGCAGAAAGCTGATTGATGGATGCAGTTTTCGCGGGACCTTTCTTCAACCATCCTGTTTGGAAACGCCTCTCAAAGGTTCTTCATTTCCCACCTTGGATGGCCTAAATTGGAGTGAGTTCATCTTAAAAATGTATAATTTGGTTAATTAAGGGAGATTTATTATAATTTTTTTTTTTAGGTGTTTATTTTTTAATTAATTCATAAGATATTTTTATATTTTAGTAAGTCGTATTATTTGAACATTTGATCTATTAAATCCTAATTCTCATATTTAAAGTATTTTATGAATATTTTTATCCTTACAAATATTTTTTGAACGATTAGTCTTTTAGTGATGTAAACATTCATATTTTACAATGTGAATATTCACATTGACGTGTAAATGTTCACATTGACATGTTAATATTCATATTAATGGTATAAACATTCACATTGATGGTGTGAACATTCACATCACGGAACATTTACACTATAAATATGAATATTATTAGGAGTATTTTGATAACTATGACACCCATAAGACTTATTGGAATATAAGAAAATAATGTGAACTAAATGGAATATAAGTAAATGAAAAGGAATTCATGAAAAAATGTCTCGTTAATTAATGATAAATTTCATAAATTTTAATGATTAAAATCATTTTTTTTTTCTTGAATTGCAATTATTTAAAAAAATATTATTAATTTGTAATTTTGCTTTGATTTTATGAGTTTATTTATTTATTTATTTATTTTACTTTGGAGATTGTGTGGAATTGTTTAATTATAATTTTGCTTATAATTTATTAAATAAAAAAATTTAATTTTCCAAAAATTAAGGGCATGTGCTTTTAAATTAGGGATAGGCTTCTCTCATATTAGCCATCTCAACTTGAGAAAGCATTTAAGTTTGGTAGGTTAATTTTGGAACCGACTTCAGTGATCCGAACCGTTCACGTTTTAGGAATCATTGAGTAGAATATTCATGCAAAAAATCAAGATAGTCAAATATAGGTAGCTATATGTTTGAATCAAATTTATATTATAAAAAATCGATGGCTATTATTGAAATTATATTTGTCGTCCATTTTTTTAAAACAAATATGATTCAAACATATATCTACTGATATCCAATCATCTTGATTTTTTGTATGAATATTCTATTCAACTAGTACTAAAAAGTGAACGGTTCGGATCAGCAAAATCGGTTCCAAAATGGACTTACTAAGTCTGAACGCTCTCTCAAATTAAGATAACAACTTGAAAGAAGCTAAACCCTTTAAATTATACCTCTTAATTGTTAAACTTACAATAAAATACACTGCACAAACCTAATACTATGCTTTTAAATTCTACCTCTTAATTCTCTTTTATGTCCTTACAAAAATGTGATAAAAGATATTTGATAAAAGATATTTAACTAAATTTATAATAAAAACAGCTTTAGTAGCGAAAAGCAATGAGTGAAATAAATTTTTTTAAAAAATTCTTATTTCCATAGCATATTAACAAAATTTAGGATTAATTTAGAAAGCAACCTTTTAATATTTTTTAGTTAAAATGTGTGATAAAAATTATTAAATGATTAATAATAATTTTTAAAATTTTTATAAAAAAAATACATAAAAAATAAAAAGATTTTAAAATTTTAAAATTTAATAAATTTTATTATAGTAAAACTAAGCCATGGTTTAGCTAATATTTTGGTGCTAAATAATCACAAAAAGACAAAATTAACTATAAAAGCCAATGAGACTAAATATTACTTTTTACATATAATTATTACACTTTTTATCTCATAAAAGTCAAAAAGCTCCAAAACAAAAATTAAACAAGACTAAAAAAATCAGATTAAAAAAATTTCTAACACAAAAAAATTGACTAAAAAAGTCAATGCCAAACGAATCTTAAATTAGCCTAGAAAGAAATCGCGGCAGTCACTATGGCAAAATTGTATACACATATATATATAGCTTAGCTCTTAAGATTTCACGTTATGGTGTGGTATGCCCTAACATTATGTTTGGAAATTTAGGAGAGGAAAAAAAAAAGAAATGATTACTTAAATTAGAAAAGAAAAGAAAAATAATTGTGATTTCTCTCATTCTTGTTTGGATAAGTAAGAAATAAAAAAAAAAAAGAAAAGAAATGATTGTGATTGTGATTTCTCTCATTTTTGTTTGGTTAAATTTCATAAGAGAAAATAGAAAAAAATTATTTTATATTATATTACTGAGATATTGGGCCGAGCAAATTTGGACCGAGCAAAGCTGGGCCAAGCGCAGTGACCAAGCTAGGTTCATACGGCTACTGGGCGCGCTCGATTAGGGCCTCGGTCCGGTCCAGTCGAAGCAGTCTTAGACCGTTAGCCGATTAACCATATTCGCTCCGCCGAGCTAGACTAGTGTAGTCTTCCACAGATTAGTCTAACCGGGTAGTATCTAGGTTAGATCTAAGGAGGTCGGCTAAGCCGCAGCGGGATCCTCCAATTAAACCGGGCAAATATCACGGTCGTGATGTGGTTTCGGTGTGATGGCAAGGAACCGTGCTATTCGTTCGCACCAGAACCATTTGGGGGTTTTGTTAAGTGGTGTTTAGCGGTACTTACGCTGACACTTGGGAAAATGGGAGCGGAGAACAGGTCCACACGCCCAAAGGTGAATGGACGCAAAGGCACGCGCAGAAAATATATAAACGGTGCTACGCCCCCATACTCAGCTCTGGAACATCTTATGATGATAGCTTACCTACCACTCCATCTCCTCTCTTTTCTCTCTCTCACTCTCCCTATGTACTAACTTGACCGTCGGAAGGTTTTTCGACAATATACCGCCAGGTAGCTCACTGTCATTGTGTTCTCAGGTTGATTGGAGTGAAGCGCAACTTGGACACGAGGAGTACAGATAGTGACCGATATTTGCACCCCGTACAATTGGCGCCATCTATGGAAACACTTTGATAAACAACCTTGTCCTCCAAGCTCGTCCAATCATCCTTCATGGCGAACAACAATGACATTCCACCGTCCGCCATCGACGGCATCACTCCGAAGTCCATTCGGAGAAGAGATGGTTTTCTCGCCATCCCTACCATGGCTGGTCTGGAGACCTCTTCTGCTAAGCACCCCAGAGATGCGCGAGACAAGCGCGTAAGGAGCATTGACCACTCGCGAAGCCCTGACGGGCACCAGCGGCGAAGTGAGTCATACGCTCAGCGCCTAGAACATAAGCTGAAGGATCAAGATGCCATCATTCGGAGGATAGAGGTAGAAATGGAGACATTAAAGAGAAGGGTGTTGTTGGAGTGGATAACCATAGTGAGTGCACCCAACCCCATCGCTCAAGCAGCCAGAACCAGCGGCACACGCCCTCTCTCTCCATCACCAGAAGTTATGGGGTTGGAGACTCTAACCCTCTAGTAAAGAAGTCTTGCACGCAAGACAGCAGTTATCGTCTCTCACGTCCGCCGACGACGTCAAGACATTCTTACCCCACTCGTTCAGAGGACTTAAGGGATGTCTTGGAAGAGCAAGCGTGCAGACGGGAGAAGTAAAGGGTGCCGACGCTGCAGCGGTTATCCTATAGAGGTCGCGCCAATGAAGAAGTCGTAATGCCGCCACCCCGTCCAGTTGTACATGTCTCTTTGGACAAAGATTTGGCAAGGTTGAACGTCACCCATTTTCCCTTGAGATAAAGACCACACTGCTCTCTATGAGCTTTCACCAGCCTAAGTTTACACTCGATCCATACATGCACGTAAGCCACTTCCGGCAGGTTATGGCTGGATACAGGCGTAATGACGCTCTCATGTGCCTTATTTTCCCGTCAAGTTTGGGCGAGTTGGGCTTGAAGTGGTTTGAGAGGTTACTGAAGGAAAGCATCGAAAGGTGGCAGTAGTTGGCGAAAGCATTCGTGACCCGATTCAAAACCAACACCAAACGCCAAAGGAGGTTGACTACCTTCTGAGTGTCAAAATAGAGCCGGGCGACTCCCTCAAAGCATGCAATGCCAAATATTGGGAAACTTTCAACGAGATCCTTGATTGCCCCAAGACAGCAGTTATCGTCTCTCACGTCCGCCGACGACGTCAAGACATTCTTACTCCGCTCGTTCAGAGGACTTAAGGGATGTCTTGGAAGAGCAAGCGTGCAGACGGGAGAAGTAAAGGGTGCCGAAGCTGCAGCGGTTATCCTATAGAGGTCGCGCCAATGAAGAAGTCGTAATGCCGCCACCCCGTCCAGTTGTACATGTCTCTTTGGACAAAGATTTGGCAAGGTTGAACGTCACCCATTTTCCCTTGAGATAAAGACCACACTGCTCTCTATGAGCTTTCACCAGCCTAAGTTTACACTCGATCCATACATGCACGTAAGCCACTTCCGGCAGGTTATGGCTGGATACAGGCGTAATGACGCTCTCATGTGCCTTATTTTCCCGTCAAGTTTGGGCGAGTTGGGCTTGAAGTGGTTTGAGAGGTTACTGAAGGAAAACATCGAAAGGTGGCAGTAGTTGGCGAAAGCATTCGTGACCCAATTCAAAACCAACACCAAACGCCAAAGGAGGTTGACTACCTTCTGAGTGTCAAAATAGAGCCGGGCGACTCCCTCAAAGCATACAATGCCAAATATTGGGAAACTTTCAACGAGATCCTTGATTGCCCGACCAACTTAGCAATCACCCAATACAAGCACGGTCTCCTAGTCGGACATAGATTGAGGGATTCGCTTACAATGAATCAACCAGCTTCGATGGAACTGTTGATGTAGTGCATCAACGAGCACATCCGAGTAGAGGATGATGCGACCGCGGCCACCACAAAGACGAATCCGGTGGTAACGGGCAAAAGGGTGGCTAAAAAAGTCCACACGGTCGGACCGGAGACAAACCATCCAAGTGACCGCGTAAAAGAATCAGACCGTGGTCCGAATTGTAAAAATCGGGGTAAAGGTCGTCGCAACGACCAAGCTGATTACCCCTGTGATACTGCGATAGACGCGAATAGAAAGTTGAACACCCGAACAGGCATCACCACAATTTTTAAAATCCCAATTTACCGCATACTTAGCGAAATCCGCGACGAGGTATATGTTCGGTTTCTAGCCAAGTTGGGCGATGCGCAGAAGGGCTTCAA